ATTAATTACTTAATATATTAATCTAAGATTATTAATTACATGTACTCAAAATAAATATAAATGTAGCCAAACACGATTTTACTTTTTTATCATACTCAAATCAGTCTCTTGAAAGACCACCAAACGTAATTTCAGAATCGGTTTCAGAATGATTTTCAAAACATTCTCATTTTTATTTTTGTACAAAAAATAAAACCATTTTGAAAACATTACCAAACGGGCCCTATATATCGTGTTCTTTTAGCACTAATTGTGAAAAGCAGGAGATAGTAAAAAAGAAAATATTTTGGGTAGAAAAATGAAATTTAAAATTTAAAATGTGAAATCCACTTTTTTTAAGGTGTTATTTAACCGGTTCGAATAGAAATCAATAACGGAAACACTGTAACAAAAGTAGCATGTTTGTTTCAAAATTCAAGTTGAGAAGTTGAGTTGCTTATGTGAGAAAAAATATGGGGTAAAAAAGTTAATAAATTTAAATTTTTGTAAGAGATACATTGTAGTAATAAAGTCTGAGTTGTGAAAAAAAAAAACACCGATTTTCTTGAAAATTGCCTTTAAAATACAACAAATCCTTAATCTGTTAAAGTCAAAAAGTAATACTTAATTTAGATGTTATGAGTGTAATTTACGGTCAAATTTGTAACGGAGTTTGCTCTTTAACATATGCCTTTATTTATAAGTGTGTGTTTCAACAATCATATTGTTTTGGGGTTGTGTTTTCACATACTCAAAATGATATGATTATCAAAACACACCTTTATAATGAAAACTCTGTTAATGAACAAATTTTGACACACATTTGAGTACAAAAATAAAACAACAAAATTGAATAAAATGTGTTAGCTAAAGGAAGGTCAGTTCCATGTAAAGATGGTGTATCTACATATGAACAAAGATAACCATTCCTTTTTTTTTTTTTTGAATGAATAACCAAACATTTTGAGAATGTGTATATAACAACTTGGTGCATTCAACAATAACGTCTCCCCCATTTGAGAGAGGGAAATATTAAACCATTGGAAACATGAAAAGGGAAATCATATATGCATAGCCACAAAGTAAAGCAAATGACCCATCAAATAGCCATCAAATAACTTAAGGATCAAAATATCCAATTTAAACAAAACATAAAAAACATAAACAATCAAATAACCAAAGGATCCAAAACATGATCTTAGATACTGATCATTCTAATAATAACTATACAATAATAACAAACTCTATTTTTCGATCATAAGCTTTTGATCACTGTAATTGTGCTACAAATTAATTCACAAGAACTAAAACGAAATAAAGGTACAAACGGATTCTGCAAAAATGTTAAAAAAGCAATTGAAAACACGAAAGAAGATAATCCAATTCCAGATTCGCCAACTAACATTCCTGTTTCTATTAGAATAGTTGGGATCCTTTTGTAAATAGAATAAAGTAATGGACTAATTAGCTATTTATTTGTTTGTTTTCTTCTCAATTGCTGAGCTGGACTTATTCACGTGGTGTGTGCATTTCCTCTCAAGAATATAGTACTCGCATGTTTTTAGATGAATGAGAAATGAATCTTTCTTCTTCCACTTTCTCCAATATTCTCTAATATGGTATCAGAGCGAAAGCTTCGCTGAGCATGGTGAGAGGATCTTAATAGTGAACATGCGATATATCATGGCATCACATACTATAACTTTAAGCATAAACATATACATAAAACATGTATAACATTTTGTTTTTAAACTTATTCATACTGTGGGTGAGATTCCCACTTATCTATTATCAGTTAAGTTCGGGACTATATTACTTGCCGAGATTAACCTCTACTACTGTGTCCATTGATGGTGTGAGTTTGACTTATTATAAGCTAGTCTATTTAGCTTACTCTATTCAGGAATTTATTCCTATACTTAAAAAATATTTCCTTATTAAATAAGAATCATTTGACATCTTACATATTACAAGGATTATGTTAACAAATCCTTATCGTATAATTTTTCTTAATTACCTTGGCTAATCAATCCTAGGTTGATAACTTAATCTTTTAATTAGTTATCTAAACCATGGTCTAGGTCTAAGTTACCAATTCATATGATTTCTTAAATTGGGCTCAAAATGCCCATTAGTCTACAACATTTCTTTACACTAGCGTGCCCAAAATTGTAATATTGTTGGTCACTAGAAATTGGTGCCGGTAAGCACTTAGTGATTATTTTTAGAAGATAATCATAAGTTTATAAACCTTTTAAAATTTTCTATTTAGCCTCGTTTATTAAATTTTGTCTTAAACTTTCAACTCTTATAAAACTTGGATTCAAACGTTTCGGAAAACATTCTTCGCTAGAAATCTAAACAGTTTTAAATCTTACCAGATAACTTTTCTATTTTTCCTTAATCTGTAATTAACTACGTATTAGAGTTGGATTCTTAAAATTTGAGTTTTGTGAAGTTTCTTCATTTCGTCATGATCTAAAAGTTTCGTGTTACGTAAAAAATGAGATTTAGTCTCGGAACGGCCTGAAATCTTAAAAATAGTGGCTGCATAAATATTATTTTGCGCATTTTTTTCAAAACAGCCCAAAAACGCGTCCTAAAGTTAGAATTGTGATTTTTTACAGTCATGGAGATTTATCTGTAAAGTTGAAACCTTTTAAGACTTGTCCTAAAGGATCCAAAAACAGTAAAACCGAAACTAACTCGAATTAACAGTTTTGGATGGTTTTTATGAAATTCTAGACATTTTTAGAAAAACGTCTAAAAAACATTTTAGAAGCATAATTGAGATTTTTCTCAGTCACAAAAAAATGTTCAACACGTCGAGATCTACAACTTTCGTGAAGTAGCTTTTTTCTTAATTTGGTCTCTAACAGCTTCAAATTTTAAATCAAAGTGGACTAAAAGTTTTTGAACTAAAACAGAAACTTGTCAACTTAATTTTTTTTTTCATCTTTAACCTCTTAAAATTAACATGAAAAGCTTATACCTTTTTCTAAACACACAAAACAACAATCTTAGACCATAAAATATAAATTCAAAAACATAGATCTAACATTAAAACTCCTTGCATGTGAAGATCTAACCTTTTGAAACACATATAAACAATAGAAGCACAAACTTTGTAACCAAACCAAACTTTGTTCTTAAAGTTGAAATGATCAAGATAAGTTTTAAAAAATCTTACCACAAACCTTAAGAGAGGAATGGTTTTGACCACCAAAGTGAGAAATTCCTTCAAAGATTTAAACATTTAAGGAAAAGTTGGAACTTTAAACAAAGAAAATTAAAAGAGAAAAGTTTGATCTTTATCCTTAAAAGTGTTAGGAATTCTTACACGAATTCCTTCTCCTTCTTCTAGATTGTGGTTTGAAGTCTTCCTTGTGTGAGGAAGTGATTTGAGAGAGAAAACTTGAGGAGTACAACCAAACAAGGGGAAAAGAGAGAGAAAGTGAAAAAAAATAAAGAAATGGTAAAAGTGAGCTTAATTCTAAGTGGTAATTCTAAGTGGTGTATATATAGACAAATAGCTAAGCAAACTTATCACTAATTAAGGCCTTCTTAATAGACTCTATAGACTAGAATTTGATTAAAAAAATATTTAGTATGGCTGATCATACTAGTGAGAAGATAGAGAAAATTTACACTTAATGATGACTTAAAACTCTTGTCATATCAAGGTTAAATTCTATTTTATCTCCTAAAGATTCCTTTTTAAACTGATTGAATTTGTACTGATAGTAATTTCTAGATAAGTTAACAGGGTAAATAATTTCCAACAGTTTTCAATCCACTGTTTAAATCACAGTCCAACACTATATTCGGAAGAAATTAACACCGTTTTAAATTTAAAATTGCGTAGATTTTTCAGGATGTTTCTAGACTTTAAAATTTGTCTTAAAATAACTTAAAATCTGAGTTTAACATATGTGTCTTAAACTCTCAGTAAAACATAATAATCGACAATGTCGATTTCTGAGCCCAGCTTTACAGTTTTACCGAAAACACGACTCCGGTAACATCGATTTTATTAATTGGCAATTAAGGATTTATTTAAATGTTAGAGTGCTTCTCAAAGCAGTGCTAACACTATATAGTACTTAGAAATTCTTATGAATAGAATTACGAGTCATAGTCAAATAAAAAATTTCTCCTGTCTTGAATCGCGGTGAGGATTATCGACCCAGTCAAAACATAAAAATTTTTGACATAAATTTTTATATAGAATTTTGAAATAATATTATTAATTCCATAAATCCTACATTACAAAACATGTCATTATCTAGAAAATCCATGATTTAATTACATAAATTACACTAATTAATATTAGGATTTTCTTGGTCATTACAAGAGCTATGACTAGGTTGGGCCTTTTATAAGGATTAAAAAAAAAGAAGAGTACTGGGGCCAGCCCGAAAAGACTTTAGGCCTAAAATATAGACATGGCCCGACCCCAGACACTTAAGTGGGTCAGACTGAGAACGAGTCAACTGTGACGATTTTCGAATTGGCCTACTTGGCCCAATCCATACTTACAGGTCTATTTGTAGCTTAATTGTTGCTAAATTTTATGTCAAAATCAGCTTTTCATAATTGATCCTTCCTTGGAAGTCTGTAGTATTTTTTTCCTCATCTTTTTAGGCATGATTACTTTACCTAGATAAATTTGTTGTGGCTCTTTGAAATGAAAGTTCATGTTTCTAATTCTTATTTTCAAAAGTAAATGGTCTTTTACCAAGCGGTAATTTCATGTCTAAATCCACCTTTAGATTTATATCCTACCTTTTTTTTTCGCTTTACATTTTTGTCTAGATAAATGAGTCAAGTCCTATGCCGACATTATAGTTCAATTTCTTGTTATCTCAAATATATATTCTTCATTTCTTTCCAAAAGAAAAATGGTACTCTCCGTTTTATCTCAACAAATAGGATCAGCTCGTCACTTCTTAGCTATTAAGACAATATTTTGTATACAATAAAATTGAATACAACACATGAAATAGTGTCTTATTCCTCGTGATAATACATGATATTAACTATAACAACAACAAACAATAAGAAACGCTAATTATTTATTAAATTTCTCATCGCATGAAACAACAGGCAACAACAGTGACTGGTGAGCACATAACATTGCCTACTTATCCCATCTTCACTTCACTCCACCACCGGAGCGCTTCTTCGCTAAAGTCTCGAACAAACTTCCATCAAAAAGGCTCCTAACATCTTCTTTAGACAGAAATCCGTGTTCATCTTTTGCCAAATAATACACAAGTCCCCATTTCAGCTTCGATGCAATCCTAAAATCCACAAATTTAATCCAAGGAATTTTAGACTGATCAGAGTAATGTATGATATGAAATTGCTACTGTAATAGAAAAGTGACTTCTATCACCACAATTCAGTGGTGGAGCCAAATGTCACTCACCGAGGTAATGCCTTTCTTCAAATTTTAGAATTTTGTTTTTTATCTCTGTTACTTTTTTTTTTAATAAAAAAAAAAAAAAAAAAACGTAATTGTCCTCATATTTTGTACCCAAAAAAAAAAAAAGTAAAACATTACGACAAGAAGATATGGAGGATATGGTATATACCAGCCAAAGAGATCATATGAAACGCGATTGGCCTCGGTCATGTTCCAGAGCTCTCCGAGTGTTAATTTATCAGGCACTTTTTCAGCATACTTGCTAAATATATTCTCAAGATTCACCGGCATAAACCTGCAAATTTATTTTATTGCATGGTACTACTGTTATAAGTTTACAGGCCAAGTAATTTTGTTAGAAGAATACTAACGGAATACAGTTTTATTAAAATAAAATAAAAATAAAAAACAGTACAACATTACTAGTACTTCTTTATACTGCAACAATGTATGTTACCTTCCCTCAGTGTCGTATGTGCCAGAATCGCTTCCATGCTTGGCTCTGTGAATGTTGCGAATGTAGATGGGAAGAGTAGGAGAAGGGACCCACCCCTGAACGCAAGAAATAATAAAAATTAAGAACAATGTTATATGGCACCGATAATATTGAGTATATACACTACTAAAAAGGTTAGATCCATTATATAGCACAAATAAATAAATAAAAAAGACCGGCATTACGTGGTTCACGTTTTATTAGTTATGGTGTTTAATGTCGATGATCCTCAATAAAGATCTTTTGAACCCACTTTATAGTATCTATAGAATTGTCATTGTTGAGGTCAAATTTCATACCTCATTTCACAACATACACTTATCACCAATTTCTTGGAGAATGAGAATTTATCATAGAATAGGCTTATAGAATCAGCCGGGAGCTTCTGACAGGTCGCCAGCCCGACATGTCGTCAAACGAGTCTTCAGGCAACGACAAGCCATTTATTGAGTCCAAGACTTCCCACATCACGGAATGACCTAGAAGAACGACTCCAGCACATAAGAATTGAGCCACGAGCTCCAGACAACTTGCGGGTCGCGACTAGATGGATCGACGGCTCATCTGGCGAGCTGCCCGACTTGGCGCCCAAGTTATCAGATAGAGATTATATTATGCACGAGATTATCTCTCTAAATCTCAGGGAATCTCATTTAAACGAGGATATCTCCTCTAGATAAGGGATTACTCAATCCTAATTCAAATATTCAAACTTCGGGCTTATCTACAGGATATCTCCTATCAGAATTCAAACAGAAGATCTTATCCTATAGAGATTCAGCCACCAAGCCTATAAATAGAGGCCTCATTCATGCTCATAATGGATCCTCCACGCTTAAACCGAAGCCCTAGTCCTACATGCATTCAAAGGCGCCCCAGAGCATATTTAGCGGAGTTCTAGGCTTATTTTTCCTTGTTTTCTCTCTTATTCTCCCGAATTCCCAACTTTTCTCTTCCCGCTTTTCTCTCTATAAGCATTGTCATTTTCATCAATTATAGTGACAGCGCATCAAAGACCCTACAGTGAACGTACCCTGGATTATCAGGGGAACTACTATAAATTTTTTGTGTCTTTGTCTCTTATTTACTTTTTCTCGCATTTATTATATGTTACGCGATACTCTCTGCTTGGTCTGGATTCGGTCATTGGCCTCGTACAAATTCAATTGTAGCAATCACCCTTCATAGTCATGTACTTTTTTTTTTGTAATGCGAAAGTTTCTTTTTTTTTCCTATATAAAAAGCAATCTTTTTATCTTTTCTTTTTAAAAAAAAAAAAGAAAATTGTCGAACTTACTCTTAAAGTCCATAAATCTGAATTTTTACCAAATACTCTTGATTAATACCCTTTTGACTAATATAGTTATTTGACTAAAAAAGATCATAATTAAAAGTAAAAGGTAAAAATCAAGACCCATATATTTTAAGAGATATTTGTCTCCTTTCCTGTTTCTTTTATTCCAAAAAACAAATGCCATTATTTGCTCTTTTGAAGAATAACTGAACTTCACTTATACCCTCAAATTATGAGGGCTGATTTAGCTAGTGCTCCATAACTTCAATTTTAATATCTATGATCTCCTATTTTCCACATTTGGTCTTTACTCCAATCTTGGACGATATTTTCTTTTTAAAAGAAAAAATAGGGTTCAGAAGTGACAAAATAAATTTGACTCGGGGTCTAAGATAAAGTAAAATAATAATCATTAACTTACATCAAGAGTTGGATAACTGAAAGCTAGATGGATAAGGGTGGATGCAATAAAGGAGATAACTGGATCGAGTCCAATGGCACGTAATCCTGATAAAAATTGAACAGAGTAATTATATTACAAATGAATATTATCAAGTGGGAAATTCTAATATGACAATAATTGAATGCAAAAAGGTTAGGGCTTATTTCTCAAATTAACAAAGAGTGAAATGAAGTATGGAGAACGTATTAGTTAAGAGGATATTATATTCTCAAAACTCAAGTGTTAATAATCTTAAACTTCGTTCGTTTCCCTCGTTCTAATTAAAACTTTGAATTAAAAAGTGAATTCATGTAAGAGAAAATACAATACCAAAAAAAGTTGAACTTAAATTTTTGTGAGAAAAAAATATTGTAATAAAAACTTGAGTTAATTTAAAAATCAACGAAGCCTAAATTACCAGCAAAAGTTTCCCGAGGATAAATTATTCCATTGTGATCTTGATCAAAGAACGCCACATGTTGCTGGAGAACACTCTGGTCTTTGTGTTTGTGGCCTACCGTTCCTGCTGAATGCTCCATATCAGGAGCAACCAATGCTCTCGCCAAATCTAAAATACCAAAAAAAAAAAAAAATTAGTATTACAATTCACACCTTGTTTTATAAAAAAATAAAAAAATAAACTTGTAACAATGACATAGTACAAATCAAAATAACAATTTCTCATTCCCAAATTCTAACAAGTAACTAATTAGTGAAAGATCAAACAAAATATGAAAAACTTACATGGCTTTGGAAGTAAAATTTCCAAGTGTTCATTGACCTTTCTCTTTGAAGTGACCGGTGCAAGAGGAGCTTCTGTTGCCAATGCTTCATTTTCCCTAATCAACTCATCATCAGTCATTTATTATTATTATTATTATTTTTGAATTCCTTATCCAAGTTATAACTCTAATTTCTCACCACACCACCTCATATTTGAATCAATATATACATGTATGTATATAGATATCATAGTGACGTACGTGAAAAAATGATTACAATTGTAGTATACATGCAACATCCACGAAGCCCTCCTATTACGTAGATCTAGCCCGTTTGGTAAAGGGATTCGTTCCCTGATTTGAATCATGATTCGTGGTTCGCTACAGTATTTTCTCTCACAAAAAATACACATAAATCAAAAATGATTTTAATCACATGGTTTTAATCCATGAACCATACGGGCTGGTGTGCATTGGTTGTGAACATGAAGATTAAGTTTGTATTGATTGTAACATATTTGATGAAGCTTGTGCATTTCAAGTGATGCAAATTACAAGCTATCCCAAAGTTAGGCAACGCAGTTTTTTTCCTCAATTTGGTGAACGGCACACTTGTTAAACCAATATAATTATTGCAAAATTCTTCTCTCTCCAAGTGAAAATTTTGACTTCACAACTGGCATTTGTGTCATTTTCCTAGATTATCTGTGACATGAATAGCGTTCTGTAGAAGAAGGATTCCATCTTGGAGTGAGTACTCAAGAAAAAGGTACAAAGATTTGTTTGTAGTTGGAATTTTATGGCTGAGCAAAAGAAAATAATAGTGTCATTAGTAAATGTGTTTGAAGTACCGTTAGGTTGGTATGATATGATATTTTTGTATTTTTCAGTGATATTTCTTGCAAAGAAACTTCCTTTATTGTTTTTTAGTTTGTGACGCTTTTTATCAATTAATCTATTTATTTTTGTAAAATTATTTATAAAAATAAAGAATAAAAATAAAAGATTTAAATCAACTTCAAAAACTCAAACAGTATTTTGTTTCAATAAAACTCAACATTTAATTTCCCCTATATGTGTAATATTACAAATGCACTATGCCGTTAAGTTTTTAATGGTTAAGTTTCCATTGGGTTTATTCTTGCAGTAGAAACTTCACTCTTGTAGTGAATGATTAACGATTCTAGTACATATTTGGTAAAAACATTGACACATACTGTTGACGGTGAAATTTCATCAACAGGATTACGCCGGGTCACCTTTAGGTATCCTGCAGGTCACCGGCTAAAAAGCGTTTATTTGATATTGAAAATGATGTAGTAAAGCGTGTGTGAAGTTTGTGGTAAATATAATGGGAGGACTTTGCTTATATGAAAATAAAGGTACAAGATTTATAGTGGTTCACTCTATTAATGAAGAGCTACATCCATTTTTCTTTATATTTCTTTTGGATTCTTTACAATGACTCTCCCTCTCTATTCTCGGGTTTAATATGAAATGAGCCAAACTAAAAGGAAAAATCCACCTCCCTCCACTCGTTTGGGGCTTTGCCCCTTTTATAGCTAAGGGTTCCTTCGTGGGCGGTTCATCTCGTAGGTAAAAGCACTCGAGTGGCCTACCTTTATAGGCTCAGACCGTAGCCTACTAATCACCTTTTGCATTGTACATTCATCCAATTAGTCTTCCATTACGGCTCTGTAGACTCCTTGTAACCCTCCACCGTTCACTGTTGGGCGGTTTAGAAGCTTGTAATTAATGCCTGCACTGCAGACATCTCCCAATGCCAGACGCAAGTTGGTTGTGTCAGACACCTTTCTGGAGATACGGGCGTCGCCTCCCATGTTCTTCCCTCGATGTCTAGGCTGAGCGAGCGGTGGCCCCTTTTGGCTGTCGATCCTTCCGTGGCATAGGGAATTTGCACAAGTCAGGGAACTTGTACGAGTCATAGGGTCGACGCCATAAGGCGGGCTTTCTTTGCAGCGTAAAGGGGGAAGTGAACTTCAGGCGCCGAGGGTTGTCGCTTTGTGAGGAGAAGTGGGGCCACGTGTAACGCTGTCGCTAATCCACGTGTCACCTAGATTTTTCCACACAACAGCTGCCCCCCAGGTCGAGGCTCTCTTTCAGACAGCCTCGAGCTAGGTTCGGGTACTTTTCTGTGCTTCGGGTGTGGGAACCTAATTCCGAGCCTACCGTGTAATGATACCCTGACGCTTTGAACTCCTTCGAGAAGTGTAACCGTCGCATCGGTCACTTCACCAAACTAACGTAGGGTTTTATTTTGAAAAGATGAATATGAGCCTTTAGATCGTGCCCCTTCATCTTCCCGCCTTGGTTTGCCACCGTTCGATCCTGACTGAATGCCCCGCCATTGGATTCATCAGGACTTCATCCAATGGCCAGGGGTCGAGGGCTCATTTTTCTTTAAATGTTCCTCGACCTGAAGCCACCATTTCACTCTAAGTTTTGAACTGCCGTTACTCTACCAAAATTTTTCCAGATTCAGAGACCTACTTTCCTCGCCCTTTATGTTGCTTTGTGAAGCTAGCATGGTCCATAGTCTCCGATTTCGCCTAGACTCCAAACTCTTCTTCATTACTGGTAAGTTGCTTTATGATTCTGCTTTGCTTGACGTCTGAACTTATTTTTCCATTTGGACTAGATGTTCTAGGTGTGAAAATAAAGGATAGAGACTTACCATATGCTTTCCCTGAACTACCTAAGGTAGCTTTTCTGATTTTTGTTTCTGGTCCAGTTGTGGTTTCTGGGTTTTGACGAGTTCTGTATGAACATTCGTTGCTTCTATTTTCTTATGAATGGTCGACGTCTTGTTGAGAACTAGGCGTTGTTGGTTCTTTATAGTTCTGAACAGTCGTCGCCTTGAGCGGACGTCATTCATTCCTCGACTTAGGATTCTGACTTAGCTCCTTTGTTTCTTTTTTTTTTAAATCAGATCAAATGGCCCCAAAACCCACCCGTCGAGAGGAGACGTCCGTTGTACGACCCGACTCCCTTTCTATGGCGGAGATTTCACGGTCATCTTCCTCATCGAAGGACGACTCCATAGCGAGAGAGGTTGAGGACCATGCGGCCGAGCCCAGTGAAGAGGTTGACAGCGTCGACCTTATGGTTGAGGGAGAAGGTGGTGAGATTCTCCTCACGGGAGGTGGCGTATGTGGATTTGCCGCTTCACTGGTTGAGGCCCCACTGGATGCCATGAGCGGAGACCCAGACAGGCCATTTTTTACGACCGATGTTGTGGCGTCGAGGGTTCGGAATAAGGACATTGTCCTGGCAGTTAGGGAAGGTTGCATCGACGGGAGATGGTTTGACTATCTCCTTCCGAATGTAAACTTCAGGACCAGCCTCCCTCCTACCGGATATCTCCCTGTATATACTAGGGTTGTTACGACAGGGATGACCTTACCCATTCATCCCTTTGTCAAAGATTTTTGCCACCACCATGGCATCTCGCCTGCCCAGTTAACGCCGAATTTTTGGTATTGTTTTGCCGGCGCCTGGGTTTTGTGGAGCCAGTGGTTTGATTTAGATCTATCGCTGGACGAGTTTATGTTTATGTATAAACTATGCCACATCGCCAAGTGTGCGGGGTGGTATTTTTTGAGTGGTCACGGGCGATCATAGCCCAGACTTGGGAAGTTAATACAAGGCATTCTCTCGTCGTCTCATGGGTGGAAACCCATATTTTTTATGGTACGGGGGCCCTTCAACTTCCACCCTGAAGACCGCAGGCCTTGACGTCGGAAGGTGTAGACGTCGTTTGGGAACATGAGTGAGGATTTGGCCTTTCCTGTGCTCTCTTTTTCTTCCCTTTTTTTAAAAAACAATGCTGACCACTTTTTTGATACGCAGTTAGTCACGATCGGCTGAAGCTCACCGATAACAGGTTGGCGAGGGTTAAGACGGCTTTTGCGTACTCAGAAAGCGTGTGTCATATCGACGTTCTTTTGACCGAGACAAATCTCAGGGAGGCAGGGCTAATTCTCGACCTCCCAGACCCCTTTGACCCCCTACTCGTCAAAGAGTACTTCCATTTGAACGATGAAAGTAAATTCCTAGGCTCGACGCCTCCGTTCATTCTTGCTTAAATAATTTGCACGTCTACTTTATTCTGACCTTGTCGTTGTGCAGAGATGGCTTCGCTAAGGATTCAACTCCCTGGCAGCCAGCAGCCTCAGCCCAGCCTGCAACCCAAATCCAAAGGAAAAGAGAAGGCGGGTACTTCTTCCTCGGTGCCGAAGAAGAGAAAATCTACAAGGGGCTCTTCAGGATCAAGGTTGGAGGCTCCTGCGCAAAAAAGGGTGCGCAGGGAGGAGGTGCCAGTGACCGAGAGCTGGACGCCAGTGGTCCCAATCCCCGATGTTGCTGAGGTGCCTCTGGCGCCGAGAGATCGCATTTTCATGCCAGGGGCCAAGGTCATGGACTCCAATTTCTAAGTCTCAGACATCTCTGACATCGAGATTGGGGCGATGCTGAATCTTCCTCCCCGCTTTTCCCTTGTCTTCTAGGCTTTGTATGAGTCATTCTTCGACAAGCACTAGATCTCTGCCTCTCGTTCTTCTCTAGTGGATCGTCAACACCAACAGATATCCTTCCAGATTCATGTAAGCCTCGACCGTATGGATTTTTTTTTGTACTCGCCTTTCATAACTCATTTTCTAACTTTCAATTTCTCAGGGCCTAGTTCTTGCCATCCTCAACCTCATCAATCTGGTTAAGGTCGACGAACGTGGCAAAGAAATGGACAGCCTGGAAGTCAAACTTAAATCTCTTCTCGACGATGCCAAAACTAAATGCTCATCTGCCATCGAGGAGAGGGATTTGGCCGTGGCCAAACTAGCAAGTTTGGAAAGCGAACTAGCCAAGTTGTCCAATCTTCAGAACGAGCTGGCCAGTTTGAAGGCTGCAGTCGAAGAGCTTACTAGGCGGGCGAAGGCAATCGAGAAGAGTGTGGTTGAAGCAGCTGAGAAGAATGCGGCTGAGGTTGCCGAGGCCGTAAAGAGATGCTTTGCCAAAGGGAAGGCTGAGGGGAGGAAAGACACAGAAGCTGAGGCCTCGGAGATGCTCGTCGCCAAGCGCGAGGAGATTATTGAGGAGTTCAGGGCTTCCACGGAGCTCATCGATATTCGCACCAAGGACTTTCAGTC